CTCTCTGTTTAGTACTCTCTTTCATACTTTTTGATAATGTCAAACATAGAGAAATTTCACCGACCAGAATACGGTCGGTAACGGGATCATATTACAGCACTGCAGTGTGCTGCCAGAGAATCGCTGATAAGTTGACAGGTGATGAATGGTTATGGGGGATTTCCTAAATGTTACAAAGTTGTACAAATTTTACACACATTTTTGTTAATCTTCTCTAAGTAAAATGAACACAGAAAAAATATCTCAAGCAATATCTGATGGATTAAAACAATTGTCTATAAGTGAATTAAAACTAAACCAGAAAAAAGTTATAGAAGCATATTTGAAGAAAAAGGATGTTTTCTTCTGTTCACCTACTGGAAGTGGTAAATCATTAACATTTGAGCTGGCGCCGTTTTTGTTCAAAGCATTAAGTTCAGCTCATGATAAAACAATTGTGCTGGTCATTTTCCCTCTGACCTCTCTTATAAGAAGTCAGGTAGATGCATTGCAAAAGAAAGGACTTAGTGCACATCACCTGAGTGAATTAGGCGGAGAGTTTGCTGATCCTACAATTATCTTTGCCAGTCCAGAATCAATATTAGGAACACAAAGAAAAATTACGGAAGATTTGGCAAAAAGAAACTTTATCAAAGCTATTTTTGTGGATGAAGCTCATTGCATTAAGAAATTGTAAGTACAGAATCTTTAAATAAATACTTCTAAATGATTGTAGAAAAAAGTATTAAAAATTGTAAATTATTAGAACAGCTCTCCTCTAATCTTATTTTTTATGTATTTATACAAAGTATATATAATCAAATCCTTAATCTCACAAATCACAAACACACCTCACAAACACAATGACATACATGTGAAATAATACAATATCTTTTGTTTTTCATGCAGCGGTGAAGATAAAAAGAAAAAACCAGCATATCGTCCATTTTATGGAAAACTAGGAGAAATAAGATCTCTTACAGGAGAAAATGTTCCAGTGATAGCATTAACAGCAACAGCTACCATTGAAACAAAGGAACACATCTACAAAGGCTTATCAATGAAAAAAGTTGAAGAAATAATTGTCAGTCCAAACAAGCTGAATATTACATATTGGTGCATCAAGTTACAGCACAGTAGCATTAGGAAAAATTTTAAATCGCTTGCTGAAGAGCTCAAAGCAAACAAAGAAAACACAACAAGAATGATCATATTCTTTAGGCAAATTAAGCATATATCAGAAGTTTATGAGCACCTGGAAGAATCACTAGGCAAGGCATCATATGTCAATTATCAGGAAGATGGCCCTAATGACGACCGTAATAGGCTCTTTGATATGTATCATCTGAAAACAGATGATGATGTAAAGGAATCTATCTGTTCATCATATCAGGATCCGACTGGTAATATTCGGGTAGTTCTTTGTTCAACATCCTTTAGCATGGGCCTTGATGTTAAGGCAGTTGATACAGTTGTTCATTATGGTCCTAAAATGATATATTGATGACTACCTTCAGGAGACTGGGCGTGCGGAGAGATCCACTCATTCAAAGTCATGCAATACTCCGTCATATAAAATATCTTTGGGTAGTCGTAACATAACTTCTCAAATGAAGGAATACACAAAGTCCAATTGGTGTCAAGACAGTGCTCGTCTTAAATGTTTGAAAGAACCATAATGATATTCCCACGACATAATCCGCCGCTGTGATACCTGCACAAAAAAACTGTTCACGTTCCATGCAAATGTTCAGATGAATGTTCATGTGAGGTACCATGTAACGGCGTCGACGAAGCATTTGAACGAATCGAGTTTTGACGAATGAAGAGGACTCAGACGATAGTCAGACATCGGATGAAGGATTATCTGATGACAGTGAATTTATTATATATTTGTCCACAAAACCAGTTCTAAACTATTCATCTGATGAATACTTATGGATTCACGATGGGTACATTTTATCCATAAAAATGTTTTCTGTTATAATCTGAAAAAGCGAACCTGAAATCCAGTTGCGCACATCATCCATATCTATTTGGAAAAGGGGATTTTTTTTTTTTTTTTTTTTTTGTAATAAGATTTTATTCAGTATTTTTTATAAATAACAACAATACATAAACAAAAAATAATGATAGAGAAACATGAAAATCTATATGTTGTTAAATACATCAATTGTTTACATATTTATGCCAATGTATTACAAAAATAAATAGTAAATTCGCTGTTTTTTCGATTATAACAAATTTTTTTTATAGTGCATATACATATAATGGAATATGTTTTTTTAAAGACAAAGTGTTGCAGAGTATAAATATACAAAATATATACTGAAACAGAGTTGAACTAGAAATTATGGTCCACCGGGGTCCTAAAACCAACGAACACTCCCCAGTGGGACGATGCTACTTGAGACTGTTCTCTCGAAGTAGCTGCCTAATTAAAAAAAAAAAAAAAAAAAACATGTATAGACTCACATAATTTGGAGCATTTTTGCAAATTTTGAAAAAAAAAATTACATATTAAAGCTTGGTAAAGCATATACTGGGTGCATTTTTGATATTTATAAGGAATCTATTTCAGTTTCTTTCAGAGATTCAATTCTACAATACATTTTGTATTTATATATTTTATACGCAATAAAAGATATTAGTAAATTCACAGATTCAATCTTATCGGGGTTTTTTCTAGATAAAAGCCCAGAACAATGTGTTTCCATTTTATACCAATAGATAAAAAGGTTCCTAGTTTTTTCCAAATCTGTTCAACGATTTTACATTCAAAAAGTAAATGTTTTGTGGTTTCAGTTGTTTTGCATAAAGTACAGTTGTCCCTCTTGTCCTTTATCCATTTACTTAAATAAGTATTGTTGCAGAGAATATTATGAAGCATTTTATGATTAAATTCAGGAACTTTATTATTATTTATATCTTTGATTTTTCTCATGTATATATTTTGCCATAGATTTGAGTCGTTTGCAGGAACTGAAAACTCTTGAGAAAGTTTAATTTGATAACACGGTTTAACGAATTTCTTATGTAATGAAATTTTATTTTAAAAAATTGGCATTTCTTTCCATTTAGATTTGATACCCCTGTTGCGAAATGAAATCTCATTTCATTCTTTATGTTTAAATAATTGGCATTAGATAAGTCACATTTTTACACAATGGTTTAATCGCTGATAATAAAGGTTTTTTATTATACCTCATTATAAATATTCTACACAACGCGTTATCTGATTGGTTCTAGGTTATCACGTGACTTCATATTTCACGGCCGTCGGCACGCTTTTCATCATATTACACCTCTTCGGAACACCTAGTGTATTTTCCCGCAATATAGTTCTCGTTCGTTGAACAAAAACTCCCGAGAGTAGAATACGTCACAATAGCCTGGTTTACGTCACAAAATTCTTGATAATGTGTCGACCAAGGGGTTTTATAGTAACTTTATGTACAAAATGAAAGTGAATTTGAGAGCCGTGCCGAATTTGAAAATTTATGTTTATTTCAAAGGTTTTGCTTGTTTCGGTATAATAAACAATTCAATGCATGAATGTTCGGGAAGCAATAAATGTGTAATATTCACAAAGCCAGTTCGACTTTCTTTTAATAACAGTGGAATGCATTCGTATTTTATGTTCCCGTTATCATCTATTAGATCTTTTAAATAGAGAATATTACTGTTGACCCAGTTGTTAAAAAATGTTTCTCCTTTTATTTTGATATTGTTGTTATTCCAAATGGGTTGTTTTAAAATATCATAGGGTGATGTATTTTCAAAGTTACTCATTTTTTTAGCTTAGAATTTGTTGTAGAAAAGCGGAAGCTTGCCTATTCTGTCAAGTGCATTTAAACTAGTTTCAAAAAATTGTAAAACATAATTCAGATTTAAATTCGCTTTTTAAAAAAAACTTTCAAAGATTTCAAATAGAGTGCCCTTAGAAGATATCAGTCGCGGTACCCACGCTGCTTTCAGAGCCTTAAACTTGCTTTCAATATCTGTAATTGATAAACCTCCGTCAGTTAAATCGCATATCAGTGTATTTCGTTTGATTCTTTCCGATTTGTCCCATAAGAAATTAAATAAAAGTCTTTAGACCTTACAAATATATTCTTTACTTGGTATACACAATATAGATGCAATATAAACTAGTTTTGAAACTGCTAATGTTTTGATTTTACACGATTTACCAAAAACCGTTAATTTTCTACGTTCCCAAGATTCAAATAACTTTTCAATGTCGTGGTATATTTTCATCCAGTTTTTATTGTATCATTCTTCTTTATCGTGTCCTATATAAATACCTAGACATCTAATTGCTTTATTTGTTGCTTTAATACCGTTGATTTCATCATACATATCTTTAAGCCCCCCGAACAAGATACATTCCGTCTTGTTTATGTTAATTTTTGATCCGGCGTGATCGCAAAACTCGTTAATAATTTTCAAACTAAAATCGAGAGATTTCTTGTCATTCAGAGCAACTGCTAGGTCATCTGCATGTTGTACATTAATATTTTTTTTTATCATTTATACTAATTCCTGATATATTTGGTTCGTTTTTGATTTTAATGGATAAAATTTCAGCTACAAATAAATATAGTAAAGCTGATATTGGACATCCTTGTCGTATCCCTCTTGTCATACTACATGTTTTAGATAACCATCCGTTATTTCATTTTGAATTTAGGGTTTTTTACATAATATCTCTACCAATGTAACAAATTGATCGCGAAAGCTTTTTCAAAGTCGAGCAGTAATAATATGCCGTCTCTCTTCTCGGAATTACAATATTCAAAAATATCTAAGATTAGCCGAGCATTTTCACCTATGTATCTGCCTTTAACATAAGCCGTTTGATTTTTATTGATTGTATATGATAATATATTTTGTAACCTTTTAGCTAAAACACAAGCTATGATTTTATAATCAGTGTTTGTTAAGCTAATTGGTCTATAATTTTTTAACAATTGTTTTTCGCCTTTCTTGTGTATTAAAGATATCACAGACAACTTTTGAGATTCAGACATTTCTTTTTGTTTAAAGATTTCTTTAAGTGCGTCATAAAAAATGGGCCCTATAATGTTCCAAAAACATTGGTAGAATTCACATGGTATACCATCTAAGCCAGGAGACTTTTCTCCTTTCATTTCAAGTACGGCATTTTTGCATTCATCAAGTGTAGGGAATTCATCTAACATTAATTTGTCCTTCTCGTTCAGCATTGGTACTTCAATATTGCTTAGATAACTCGAAATCTTAGCGGTTGGAATATTTGTAGTTTTAAACAGATTCGTATAATAATTATTCATTTCTCCGATTAATGAATTTGTAGTGTTTATTAAATCGCCAGTAGGCGTTTTAAGTTCTTTAATTACATTAGACGTTTGATTTTGTTTTTCAAGATTTAAAAAATATTTTGTATTTTTTTCGCCGCTCTCTATCCATTTTGCTTTTGATCTTATTTGTGCCCCTTTTATTTTTTTGTCATTAAGTTCATTTAAATTTGTGTATAGTGCCTTAAGTTTTCTATTATTTATATTGTTACACTGGCTATTTTCCATATTTTCTATCTCTTTTTCAATAAGGGCTATTTTTCCTCTCATATTCTTTCGTTTATTTTTTGCGAAAAATATTGAAAATTCTTTAACTTTACGTTTAAAAAGTTCCCATTTGTCGATCGGATTTTGTACATTATCTACTTCATTAACTAAATTTGCAATATTTTCCTTGTATTCCTTATTCTCTAAATATGAAACATTTAATTTCCAATAATTCGGACCTCTTGAATTTTTAGAGATACTAAAATACATTTTTAAATATCTATGATCACTCATTCTTGTGCCTCGGGAATGAGTACCTGGTAACTTTCTCACTATAATTTTACCTACTTGAAAACAGAAATTATTATTCATAAAAATATAGTCTATTCTACTAAAAGGGATATCTTGGGCATTACACCACGTTTCGCCTTTCAAATCAGGGTGTTCTCTATTCCAGACATCTACCATATCAAGCTGCTTTAATAGGTTAATCAGATAATTTTTACTTTTGTCTTGTTTGTCATTGAGTCGACAATTAAAATCTCCACATAGAATTACGTTTTCATTTAAACAATTTTTGGTAATAAATGTATGCACTCTTTTGAAAAAATCAACTCTTTTGTTGATGTCGTTAGGTGCGTATATATTTACAATTGTAAAAATTTCATTATCATATTCAACATTTAACAACATTTTTCTACCATCAATTGATTTTTTCACATTCAGTATTTCGATACTTAAATTCTTCTTAAAAAATATTGAAACGCCTTTACTATGTGACGAATCGCTGTATGAATGAAAACTTTTCCCATGCCATCCGGCATTATATTTATGTTCATTTTTTTCAATAAAATGTGTCTCTTGTAATAAAATAACATCACATTGAGATAATTTAAGCCATTCATATAATTTTTGACGTTTTTCATCAGAATTAAGCCCCCTTACATTAACTGATATAATCTGTAGTTTGTCCATAGTATCGATGTTCTAGGTTAATGAAATATAATATGGTAGTAAAATATTTAAGTATAAACATACCGGCATCATAGTCATGAGTTTGAATTCAAAAAGAAGCAGTCTATTGGAGCATTACGTTTCCTCTTCTCCGTCCGTCTCGGATGAGATATCACTTCCGGATGCAGAATCGTGTTCCTGCTGACGGGCGCGCATTTCACTAATCATCACTGATATGTCGCGCTGTTTGCTGCTCTGATTTTTTGACTTTTGGAATGAAGGATCATGTTGTCTTCCAGGTATAATGGAAAAGAGGTCAAGTTTTTGATACTGTTCAACTAATTTCAAAATATTACCCCTGAAACTATGTGTTTCATCCTTGAAAACTTTGTTGCAGTGTTCTATGTCTAGATCATTTGGAAGATTTTCAATCGAAATATCCTCGGTGATTGACAGTTCGATTCCATATCAATCTATGTGCCATCCTTTCCGTCAAAAGCATGTTTGTCTGAGCTTTTGTCTCTAAAAGCCCATAAGCATACTTCGGATTTATTCGCATTATACGCTCACCATCTCCCATACGAATGGCATCGTTGTGGTTCATTCTAAGTAGCCCCAGATTCAACATTAATCGTGTATAGTTGAATACTCCATCTTCTGAGGTCTGTGTCGTAATTTCTGTTATATTAGCATCTCCATACAATGGATCCGGATGACCATGAACCGTCGCCTCATGCTTTCGTAGAGATTTCGGGCGCTTATATTCCTTATTGCAGTAACGACATATCAAAGATAATGATTGGGGACCATACTCTGGCAAAAGTGGTGTGTCAGGAACACAGAACTGCTTTGCAAATTCAGATGCATGGTCTAAAATATATTCACACATCTCTTTCTTGTCACCAATAGCACCGCTATACATATTTTTGGTTGGGACTGTGTTCAAGGTGTCCATTCCAAAGTATTCAAGACCTCCAGTAACTATGTAGGCTAATGTGACTTTTTCTACCAGGTCAGAACAGGCATAAAAGTCTTGAGACGAATGTTGAGTGACATTCCTCGAGTTCAAAGTATTTCTTGCAGCATACAAAGTTCCTTGGTTGCGGGCAGAACTGGTGTTATATAGTAGGGACCATATTACCTAATAAAAAATAATACAATGCATTTAATAATAGATAATATTTATGTCATACTTTAAATGTATATTGAACAAAATAAATGTACAAGATACGGGATGAAACTGAATTTTACCTTTAGCAATTCAGCTTGGTTATGAAACTCTTCCATTTTTGGAATTAGGCCCTGCAAACGCTTAGAGGGGGTACGGCCATTTCGTTTTGAAGATTGGGCTTGCTTGTGGCGCTCAAATGTGAGGTAGTCACCCCCACTTAATACTTTGTCAGGTTTCTTCTGCCAGTTATCATTTGTTTCATGTCCAGGAACGAAAGTGTGTAGAAATTCACAAATATCTGTCATATCCTCATTGTACTGCTCACATTTCATAAGTACTCCCAGGTTGATCTGGAAAATATATGGTTCATTGCACACAATTAAAACTTTTTCTATGCTGAAATTTTATTTTTAAACAATTTTATGTTGAGAGAAAATATATTTCTTTGAAATTATTGATCTTTTTCCCTGTATAAGTAATAAAATTGCCAAAAAAAAAAAAAAAAAAAAAAATGTAGAAAAGTCTACTTGCCCTGTTGGTTCGAGTTTTCATTTCTTTGAGATACTCATGACTGATGTATTTTGGCAGAACATTGATGTATGGCAAAAAATGAGGAATGTACTTTGACCATTGCTGTGCCACTAAGAAAGCTGCTTCAGATAAAAAACATTTTTTCTCATGTTCACCCGGTATCAAGTTCTTGAAATTGTATGTGTCAATGTTGGTCTTGGGTCCACTGTTATCGAGATGGTTTCCAGAAACTCGATTTTCATAGGCACAGATCTGGAACATGTGCTGATCTTTGTTTTGGTTGGTAATGGTCATATTCCTAACTTTTGTTCTCAAATCTACATTGTCACCAACAAAATAGTATCCTGGGTGCATGTTTTTTCGATGTTGCTGTAGATCTTGTCTGGCACTAGATAATGCAAGTGTGAACTCAGGGTCTCTATCAACATCCTGATGTACTCTTACTAATTCTTCATAAACATGCACACTGTTCATCAATTGATCTTCAGTTTCTCTATCCTGTTCAACAGTAACTTGCCAACTTCTAATATTTCGATCCCAGTCTGCCCCATAGCGATCTGCTAATGCTAAAGTTGCTGGATATGACAAGCAATCAAAAGTAGAATTTAACCTTCGAAAAGTAGACTTTTTGCAGCCTCCTTTCAGCAATATGATGCTATTGATGTGTTGAAAGAGACTAAGCTCTTGATTATGGATACTCAGTAACTTTGATCCCACTGACACAATACCCGGCAGTAAAGCGTCATCTTTTTTACACTTGTTTCTTGTTTGTGATGGATTGGACACTATTGTTTCCAGGATTTCGAGGAATACTGGGGCTTCTTTCTGCCATTCTTTTAAAACTTTTTCTAAGGAAAATGACTGCACAGCCTGCTTATCTTTTCTTCTAAGCACAGAATTGAAGCCCTTTGAAACAATATTTCTTATTTCTGATTGTAGTATTTGGTAAATTTTATTTTTTAGACATTCAAGGACATTCGGAATTTGGAAAATTTCTTCTGAAAATTCCTTTATGTTTCCACATTCTAATAACTGGACAAGCTTTGCATCACGGTTTTGAGAAGAATCTTTATTTTCCTAAAAAAGTTTAAAGAATTAAAAATAACAAGTTGAGTTAAATTATAATAAAATATGAGAAACACATAAAACTTGTTTATGTTCAGATTTTGAATGCCTAGTAGGTCGAGTTTTTTTAATTTAAAAAATCAATGTTCTGTGTGTATTGATTATTGTAAGTCTTAGAATTTATTTTAATATAAAAAAGATTTTTTAAAAAAGCAGACCTTGTAGTCATCAGTCTCAGAGAAAGGTTGAAAATATTGGTCTATATCTTCAGATCCAGTCTGACATTCACCTGGAAACAAATTCCGCTTCTTCACAGATGTTTCTGGCTCTAGTGATGCTAATCTCTTTGATGTTTCCTGTCCGTGAGATTCTAAAAGGCTACTTATTGTCCGCTCATAATTAGACTTCAGTTTTAAAACAGTTTCATTCACTTTATTAATTTCTCTTGCACATTTGCGGCACACTGTGTCTGTATGGGTATCTGGATTAATGTCAATGTGCAAGTATTTTTCAATTAATACACAGTATTCTGTTTTAGATGATCCTTGGAATAACTTTCTTCTTAAATTACTATCCTCAGTTTTGTTTCCGCACAATAAACAGATGAATTTCTTTGTTCTTGGTGTATATTTAATAAAACTAAAAAACTTTCTAGGTGTAGAAGCGGCCATACGAGTCGCCAGTTTAGGAACTGATAACGGGAGTGTAATTGCCAGCTGAGCAAAAACAATTTAATTTTGTGAAAGGTCATAAAAATGTCTCGTAGAGCGATACATGATGACAGATGTAATAGTGAGGCTGATTAGCCCAGTGCAGGGTTTACAAGTCTCTATGTTTGATAACATTTAACTATGACAGAGAGCAGAGGACAGCAATACAAATAAGAACAAAGAATTTGTAAAACTATTTATAAAAAATAAACAATAAAAACATAGAGACTTGAGCCGTATATAGCCTTTAACATTTTATCAATGTAAAATAGAGCAGGTAGAAAGAACTTTCTAGAATATTTTTCCCTTCAGGCAGTAAAAGAATAGGGTTGATCCAAAAGTAATGTCACAACTTCGATAATTTGCTACACATTACAGTTAAGGCACACAATGGACAATAAAATAAGAATAGACAATATTCTGTAATTAAAAATTAATATTTTCATGGTTGGGATAGCAATTATTTAAGTACATTATTTATATAGGTTAATTGTAATGAGGGTTTATCACTACATATCGGGGACGATTATAAGCTTCAATGAACAAAGCAGGAGTGAAATGTTTGGGAGATTTCATGTACATGTTTTATGATACTTTTCCAACGAATATTGCTGCTGAAATACACATGTAGGTTGAAAGATTATTATGAAGCGATATATATGTATAAGTTAGTACATGTATCTTATTCACTTGTGAAAGGGCTCAATATAACACACATCAAGAAATCATTTCAGACATCATCTTTGAATATCACATACTAGAATAATGATAGATAATAGCGTGTGTTCGTTTTTAAATACTATATAGCAATCCTTTAAAACGAATTGATATGAGAGACCTGAACGAGACTGATGTGTCTTGTTGATGTCTTCTTTTAATCTTTAAAGAATTTCAAGGGAGTACCATAAGCCTTTCGAATAAATTGGTTTGCTTCTTTCAGATGATATTTAAAAAAATTGGCTCTTTGTTTCCATATTCTTTGAGTTTTTTTCAATGAAAAATAGAGCAGTGAGAATGAACTTTTACTTAAATATTCCCTCCCTTTAGACAGTAAAATGCCAGGGTTGGTCCAAAAGTAATGTCACAACCTCGATAAAATTGCTACTATTTGACGTATCTATAAAAAGACTAGGAATCCGATACATTTAATGTTGAAACAGTTTTATTTTTAAGCAAGATATCTAGTTAAAATAACTTTTTGTTATCTTGAAGAGATATCTTTTTGATAAAGAATTGAAATGTTTGAAGAGTGGATCTAACTATAGTTTTCAAAAGCAATTATCGACCCAGCATGGGAGATAACTCATCAGCACTTGATGAAGTTTTTTCTACCTCGTAAATTTTGAAATAATATACATGCGGACCAGACTGGACTCTTTTTTTTACTAAATCAAAACGGTATCCTTAAAAGTCCTTGACATTTCTTTCTATATTGTGTGCTTGTTCTCTATACATTGGATACATTGTGTACGCTAAAAGAAGGATATGGAAATAACGAACAGTATTCAATCTCAACGTCCATTTAACAAATATACAAAATAAGAGCAGAGCAAACACGGACCTCCGAAACATCACAGGTGGGATCAGGTGCCATGGAGGAGTGAGCATCCCCTGCCGACGGTCACACCCGCCGTGCGCTCGTTGTCATAATCAGGAAATAACGGAAAAAAATCCGTGGTCAATTCAATGTATAAATAATGGACTAACAATTGGTATGAAAAACGTCAGTCAGCATTTCATTCAATGATAGATTGTATTTGGTCCTGACACAAGGTCATTGTATCTCCAGTTGCATAGAATTTACGAAATGATGACTTTAAAACTACTGTTGATATTCTTGTTTCATCAACTTGCTTGTCAATAATTTACCTCGTTTAAGAAGTTGTTCATACATAGAGCATGCTCTTGCGTATCGAATCAATTGACATATAAATACTCCGTATGCAGGTGATGAAGATATATTGCTGCATAAGTAAGGGAAGTTGACGATAGAAAAGTTAAAGACATCACGTTTATCATATAGCTTGGTCGTTAGATTACCATTAGTGTCTTTTTCAAGTAAAATATCCAAGTATGAAGCAGAAGTGTCGGACTCTGTGGTATCTTTTATCTCAAGCACACCAGGATATATCGTGTCGATGTAAGAATGAAAACTATCATTATTAATTGACAATACGTCGTCGATATATCTTAATGTCGAGTTGAAGGCCACAGCAAATGTTTTCTTCTTTTCACGTAAAAGATTTTGCATAAATTCTGCTTCATATGAATATAAGTGTGCCAATAACGGAGCGCAATTTGTTCCCACGGGAATTCCAATAGATTGTTGGAATACCTGGTCTCCAAAAACCACATAGATATTGTCAATCAGAAACTCAAGCATCTTCTTAATGTCATCTTCAGAGTACTTATGTGTGCAATCAGAATCTGTTTTAACAAAATAATTTTTCAAATGACCAATGACGAGGTAATTAAACTTACGAGTTCCATTTTTGTTGAAGAAGCAGCTGTCAATGATATCAAAAAGCCTGGATTTTAATTTGTCGTGGGGAATTGTTGTGTATAAAGTTGAAAAGTCGTAAGTTTTTATACTGTTGATTTTTGTAAAGTCCTGTGATTTCAAATCGTCCAGAAAAGTTCTTTAGAATTTTTAAGTATCCACATCTGATTCACACCACTTCTTGAATATATAGTTGTACAGTACTCTTGAAGTTTTTCCTTCACTCATGTCAATATTTTAGTGAGAAGTAACGAAAGAGGCTTGGTTGAACATTTACTGGAACCTGCAATGTATCTTTGTTTGTAAGGATTCTTATGAAGTTTCGGAATCCAATATATATAAGGTAGTTCAAATTCATTTTGGCTCTCTTGAATATTAAAAGTATTCAAAACGGACAAGTGATTTTGAAGAATTTCTTCCTTAGAAAAGAGAAGAATATGTATAAGTAGGATTACCACTTGTAGAATTAAATCCAAGTTCTTCTAGAATGCAATTTATATAATGAGCCTTACAAACGAAGACAATGTTGTTACCTGCTTTGTCGGCAGGAACCAGTACGTACTGATCGTGTAATCTATCAAATTCTTTTTTCACTTCTGGTTTATTGAACACAGAAGGATAGATGGTTTTCATTTTGCCCCTCAATCTTTTAATACGTGACTTTAACATGGATCTGAAACATTTAATCCATTCTGACAAGGTGTCAATGTCTTTCTTTTTTATATCTAGCCCATCGTCTGGCGTAATTTTCAACAGAATCCATAATATTTATGAAATTCCGACGCAAGTTGAAGGATTGGGGGTCCTATATTTAGGACCTTTTAAAATAAGTGATCTAAGGTCCTCATTACGAACTATTTTTACGTCACCTGTAATAACGTGTCCAGCAGGACTATAGTTATAGGGCGAAGAAGAACATGAACACGAAAGGGGATTATTTTTCAGATAGTCAATATCCAGGCCATGTAAAGTGTTTTTGTAATTGAAAAGTTTGGAAGCAATGGTCGATGTATATTTGTAGGAAATACAAGGCGTAGTCTTTAACTTGAAATATGGTGGAATACAAGACTGGACCCTTTTGTGATTAAGAATATTACTTATATTATCTGCGTCAATTCCTTTATTGGCATATTAAAGTTAAGGAAAAGACGGATTGTTTGAGCTGCATTTTCTTCCGTGAAACGTGGGGGTTTAAAAAGCCTGTGATGTGCAATATCCATAATCACAGAACCGAGACTACATTCAGGTGTCGAGGAATCTAAATTTGGATGTTCCTTGGTCTTTCAAGAAGACTATTTAATAGTTTCAAGGCACAGAGTAAAGTTTGGTTCGAATATGATGTAGACCTAACTGTTGATTTACATAAGGTAGTAATGAATCAAAAGAGACGTCGTGTATTGCAGGTTTATTGTATGAACAATGTCCATGACTACGCTTACGTCTCTGAGTATTGTTAAAAAGTCCAATCACATTTACATTATTACACTGCGGGCTTATGTGAGATTTTCCAACACTATCAACATTGTCATTACGTCCATAGGGAAAGGCTGTCCCTAGTTTCCTAATCCAGAATTCTTCACGTTGTCTACGGAAAGGTGTACTCAACGACCGACTATTTGTGTGGTGATAAATCTTTTCCCGAATTCTAACTTTCATTGATAAAATAGAATGATCAGGTGAATTAAAATGTTTATATAAAAGCTGCTGACCACCATGATTTATTTGAAATCGATGACCTAATATTCTTTTGTTAAGCGATCCCTTGGTTTCACCGACACAAATAAGTCCACACAGATTACATTCTATTCCATAAACAACATTAGAGGATTTGCAGTTCAGATTTTCCCAAGTTTTGGTATAAAAGCTCTGTCCAGTAAGATTACTGGTGAAAAAAGTGTTAGTTATCAAAATGTCACAGGTTTAACAGTTTCGCACAGAACATTTTGAAACCAAAGACATTGGGTCGGAAAAGGAATCATCCAATATATTTGTAATAGAAACTTTACACTCTTTCAATTTGGTATATGATGTATTGGTTTTATACCAAAACCGGGAATCTGAAGTCTGTACATATGACATATGTTTAATATCCCCGAGGATTATCCGAGGGGCACCAAATGAACTCCATGAGTCTGTGTCCCTTAAAGACTCAAGGGAGTGACGCCTTTTTATACTGGGCGACGCGTCGCCTGCCAGTATCATTTCGTTATTATGTGTACTCATGCATGAATAAGTACCGAACAACAAGTATCCTCGGGAACAAATTGTCCACCAGCAGAGATACATGTTCGGTGGTTAAAAGAAGGATATGGAAATAACGAACAGTATTCAATCTCAACGTCCATTTAACAAATATACAAAATAAGAGCAGAGCAAACACGGACCTCCGAAACATCACAGGTGGGATCAGGTGCCATGGAGGAGTGAGCATCCCCTGCCGACCGGTCACACCCGCCGTGTGCTCGTTGTCATAATCAGGAAATAACGGAAAAAAATCCGTGGTTAATTCAGTGTATAAATAATGGACTAACAATTGGTATGAAAAACGTCAGTCAGCATTTCATTCAATGATAAATTGTATTTGCTGACAAGGTCATTGTATCGACCATAGAATTTACGAAATGATGACTTTAAACGAGACTGTTGATATTCTTGTTTCATCAACTTGCTTGTCAATAATTTACCTCGTTTAAGAAATTGTTCATACGTAGAGCATGCTCTTGCGTATCGAATCAATTGAGATATAAATACTCCGTATGCAGGTGATGAAGGTATATAGCTGCATAAGTAAGGGAAGTTGACGATAGAGAAGTTAAAGTCATCACGTTTATCATATAGCTTGGTTGTTAGATTACCATTAGTCAAACCTTTCGCTTTCCTCAATGATGTGTATAGTATACACACGTACACCACTGTAGGTCTAAAGATTGCACTGATGGTCAATAAAAACGGAAATATTCAATCATCATTAAAATTAAATCGAAAGCATACATCAATGACCAATAAGATAACAATACCCCTCACTCAATACTGTAAATACATAATACACTTGTGTTATTACGAGATTCTACGATGGCTTGCAATCAAACCTCCTACTGTTGAGGGATTTGAACTAAGTTATGTTTTAGGAACTAGCTGGGAAGGATTTGGGAATACTCTTGTATTTCACTATTTGTATAGGTAACGACCATTTGATTCGGGAGGGGGGTGGCAGACATTAGAGATTAATATGTCTTTGAAAATGTTGAAAAAAAAATACTCTGTCCACGATCTGATATATCAACACCCAAATCAGCTAGTGAAGAACAACAGAAAACATTCTGTTTTCTGTTTTATTAGGACAAAAGAGATTGAATAGAGGTATTCTATAGATATCAAAACCCCAACAGGCGGCCTGAAGTCAATTTAGAGGAAATAGAGAAACCAGAATATATTATTTATCACCATCAAGAATCGGCGGAGCTTAATCTTATTTTAATTCTTTGGTGTTCAAAAGTGACGGTCCTGTTGTTACATCAATCATGAGAGACACTGCAAAATACACGCTGAAAATAACAAGAAAGTCCTTCACGAGATTGCTGTTGCGTACCCACGTCTTGTTGATGTTTTCTTTTAAACTAAAAGGAATTTCAAGGGCGTAGCATTAGCCTTTCTTTAAATAAGTATGCGCCCTGTCAGATGTTTTTTAAGAATTTGACTCTCTTTTTCCGTATTTTTTGAGATGTTATCAATGTAAAATAGGGCAGTGAGAATGAACTTTTACCTAAATATTCCCTCCCTTTACGCAATAAAAGAATAGGGTTGGTCCAAAAGTAATACCACAACTTCGATAAAATTGCTACCAGTTGACATAAATAACAAAATTATAACTCATGAAAGCTTTATCTATATCATATCAAATCTGAAATTGTCAACGCAGTACAGTTAAGACAACATTTTCTATAAAAGGACACGGAATCCGATGTTTTTAAAGTTGGACAGTTTTATTTTTAAGCAAGACACTCAAGTTAAAATAGTTTTATGTTATCTTGAAGATTATGTCCTTGGCTTTTCACATCGATATTTTTTGACATCATGTGACCCTCTAAAGTCACGTAGGCTCAAATTTTAGGTAAAACAGGAGGCTCAGTGGCCACATTGCTCTACTGAGCAATCGGCTAGGGTATAGCACATATCAGATCAGAACAAAATGTTTACTGTGGCTTGGGGGCATGAATTTTTACCCCCAACCCCCACCCCCGGGGGAATCATGATTTGAAGAAACTAGAATTTACACTACCTGAGGATAATTCCATAATAAATATCACTAATCATAGCTTTGAAGTACTTGAAAAGAAGATTTTAAAAGGTTTCCTTATATATCCCTTTGTAAAACTTGGGTCGGCCATTTTGGCCCCACCCTTGCCCCGGGGGTCATGATTTGAACAAACTTGAATCTAAACTACCTGACGATAATTCCATAGGAGTTTCATCTTTCCTGTCTCAATGGTTCTTGAAAAGAAGATGTTTAAAGATATTTCCTATTAATTTCTTTGTAAAACTTTGATCAGCCATTTTGGCCCTTACCTACCCCGGGAGTCATTATTTTAACAAACTTGAGTTTACACTACCTGAGAACAATTCCGCATGAGTTTCATCTTTCCTGGACCAGTGGTTCTTGAGAAAAAGATTTTTTAAAAATGCCATTGATTTTTCTCTAATTCATATTTATCTCCGCTTGTTTTTTTTAGGTTACCTGAGTAAACTCAGGTGACCTATTGCTATCTGTTTTCGTCCGTCGTTGTACGTCGGTCGTGCGTCGTGTGTTAACATTTGAACATTTTCAGCTTCTTCTCTGAAACCACTAAACCAATTTTGACCATAATTGGCACAAAGCATGTATGGGTGAAGGGGAACAAAAATTGTGAATTTCATGATCCCTGCCCCCCTGGGGCCTGAGGGGTGGGGCCAAAACCACTAAAATTAATGCAATCTTTAAAATTTTTCTTCTTTACTCCTGGACATCAAGCAGTCAATCTGTTTGCTTGATTGTAATCAGCATTGAGTCCTCTACCAAAATTGTGAAATTCATGGCCCTGGGGTCAGGGGTTCTAGTGCTAGGGCGGGGCTAAATAAGTTGGTAGTGAAAATGCATTATTTCTTTGAAAATCTTCTTCTCTGCTCCTGGGTATTAAATAAACCAACTAAGTACATAGTTATGATGAGCAAGAGTGCCTCTACCAAAATTGTGAATTTTATGGCCCCGGGGTCAAGGGTTCTGGTGTTAGGGCGGGGCTCTATTGATTATATAGTGAAAATACATTATTTCTTTGAAAATCTTCTTCTCTGCTCCTGGGTATTAAATAAACTAACTAAGTACATAGTTATGATGAGCAAGAGTGCCTCTACCAAAATTGTGAATTTTATGGCCCCAGGGTCAAGGGTTCTTGTTTTAGGGTGGGGCTCTAATGATTATATAGTGAAATGCATGAATTCTTTGAACGTACACCTTATCCTTTGCTCCTGGTTAATATGCTAATGATCTAATTACACATTCAAAGGCCAGGATTTATTTTATTTTCAGTTTTATTAACCCTCCGCTCAAGGTTTAGAATTTTCAGAAAAAAACAATATTTTCTTTCCGATGTCAAATTTGAGTCGGGATCGAGATTTCGAATTTACAAAGTCGCACTTCCGGTTTTAAGATGAAACGGCGGGTAAATAATGCTAGATGTATCTGAGAAGATAGCTTGGTTAAGTGTAAAATTCATCGATTCGAGTGCCATTCAAAACGTTTCACCCGTTCAAAGGACAAATAAAATGCTGACGACTTTGTTGCACAATGACATGCTGGTGAGATAATTATGTGTTAGTTTTAAAAGTATCTGTCTGTAAATTATTTTCCTCCCCAGGTTTTAAACTGCCAGTGGTAGTTATTGCATATTGTCAGCGACATTGTTTAGATCTCTGTTATAGCTTACAGTCTAAGCATCATTCTTCAGAAAAGGGTTGCTTATGCATCAGATGTAATGAATAAAACTATGGGAGAAGTTTAGTCCATTTGAGGAAGAAATAAACAATAGCCTGAAGAAATATAGAAAAAGTTCAACTATTAAAAGGCAAAAATATACAAATATATACAGGCATGAAGTATCATTTGTATTAATCTCAGCGAGATGTCATAGGGACTAAAATATTTGGTCGGACGTCCACTACGACATCTCAGACAGGTGCCATACAAATTGATTAGGGATTTTTTGCTCAGATTTCGGCCGCTTGTTTCAATCAATATGGGCTGAAATGAATTATCTGCTCGCTTCAACTTTTTCCTTTGAACATCCCTTTAAGTCTCTAGCACAATAAAACTTTCCTTTCTTACCTTAAAAATGTTTAAATCCAACAAAATATAAAGTTGTTTATTTTTCCTATGTAATGTCCTATTCATTTCAGAGTAGGAACTTTTTCGGTTTTTTTATGGTCAGCGGTCTATTCCTAGTCCATGATCCTTTCAAATACTAATTTCCAAAGATTAAAGCATGATTTTGTTGATGAGGTAGAAAAAGGTTGAGATAATGTCGTTGAAAATACTCCTTGAAAATTTACTACTTACTTTATTATTTCAATATGCATGTACATTTAGATCATATTTTCTTCAACGACTTTTAAATTATCACTATTTTACAATATACGATCATAAAAATGCTAATTTGGATAAATCTATATTTTAAAAACTCTAAAATACATCTTTAGAAAAAAATATTTTCTAACTAATACAAAAGGGCGATTTAGTAATTGTTCTGTCTTGGGCACAGAAAGTTTCAACCAGTTCATTCAACAATTGACTTTTATTGAATAAATCAGGTAAAAAGCTACAATAAAAACAGGGCATATTCAAAATGGTTGTTTTCTATTGACAAACTCTTAGTTCAACTTAAATATGTAAAATGATATTGACACAAATGGCGTTCCATAATGATAAATCTTGACAAAATCGCGGGAATAGGAAAACACTTAATGTAAATAAATTCCTTACAAAATTAACATTTATGATATATACAAATATAAGATCTGACAAGAAGAACAAGAACTACAGAGTTAAATCCTATAAAAATAAACCAAAAATTGCGCTGATGAAAGTAACATGTTGACAACATAACCGACCGTAAATTATCCGTATGCAATTTTCTGACTATAAAAACTTGCTGTAATAACACTCATTTTACTTAAACAACATAATAATATCAATAAATGGTAAATATGTTGTGGCATACAAGTTTCAAAACAGAAAGTTCCGAGCGTGGCGCTTACACGTGTTTACTTATAACAAAGGGAGGTAATTCTATTTTATACATATGGAACGCAATACCTGTAATGAAATCCACCACACTCCCCACCTGATATTGAAAATATCACTTATATAAAAATATAACATGAATTGTAAAATTCACAAGTGTCTTCTTGACATAAAGTAATAATCAAACAAATTACTGTAATACATATCATGTCAAACAATTTTGTTTGTCCAGAAAAGTTTAGTCTTAGTCCTCATGAATCAAAAGAACTAATTCTGATATTGGCCTTGTGTAAGTCGTGGGTTTGTCGTCCTTTACTATTTTCACCTCCACTTTACGCACTTTATCGTCAGCACTTTTGATTGCGTTAGTAATGATTCCAAGCGGCCACTCACACCTTGCAGTGCTTGAGTCTTTCACAAGAACAATGTCTCCTATACAGAGATCAGGTAAGGTTTTTTGCCATTTACGCCTAACTTGAAGTGTTTGTAGGTATTCCTTTTTCCAGCGATCCCAGAAAATATTAGCCAGATGTTGGACACAGCGCCACTGGGATTTATACATATCCTTGATGCTGAATGGTCCAAAATTTGTCGGCATGTTGTAAGTCTTCTGAGTCAGCAACATGTTCGGGCTGAGAATCATAGGGGCTTCTGGGTCTGACGACACTGAGACGATTGGCCTGGAATTAACGATGGCACATACTTCGGCCATAAGGGTTGTCAATACTTCATGAGTAAGATGTTTTGAATGTAAGTCCATGAGCATTGAGTCGAGTATCCTACGAGCAATCCCAATCATCCGCTCCCACACTCCACCCATGTGGGAGGAATGTGGGGGATTGAAGATCCAAGTCACCTTCTGGTCTGATAGAAATTCCTGAACAGGCTTGTCTTCGACGTTTATGGCATTGACGTCTAGGTCATCAATCGCTCCAATGAAATTAGATCCACGATCAGATCGGATTTCTTTTACATTTCCTCTGAGAGAAATAAATCTTCTCAAGCAGTTGATGAAAGAAGAGGATGAAAGTTCTTCAATCACTTCTATATGAATGGCTCTAGTGTATAAGCAAGTGAAAAGTACAGCCCATCGCTTGCTGTTTGACACTCCACCTCTCGTTTTGCGAGTCGCAATTGTCCATGGCCCAAAGGTATCTAACCCAATGTAAGTGAAAGGAGGGCACGGTTGAATTCGGTCTGCTGGTAAGTCAGACATCAGTTGACTTTGGTATTTTCCACGAAGTCGACGGCACTTTATGCACTTGTGTAGCAGTGAGGATATTAAGCGCTTCGCTCCAATAATCCAGAATCCTGCTGATTGCAGTGCCCCTGCTGTGAAATGTCTCCCTTGATGCTTTACCATCTCGTGAAAATGGCGTATTAGTAGGACAGCTGCGTGATGATTCTTTGGAATGATAAGTGGATGTCTCTCATTGATACTAAGGTATCCTCTCTTCAATCTACCACCTACACGTAGCAAACAATTTTCATCAATAACTGGATTCAAAGAGATGAGGCTACTACTCCTTGGCAATGGCCTATGTGATTGCAAGCAAACAATCTCCTGCGCGAAAACCTGTCGCTGGACCATGCGTATAATGAGGTCTTCCGATGAAAACGAGTCGTTTGAGGCTCCAAGATCCTTTGGAGAGTGACAACTCCTAGATAGTGTTCTCATTTTGTCTATGGATCTCACTAATACTTTCCAAGTAGAGAATCTCTCAAGCCTATGAGTTTTGCGAAATGCCTCAAGTTGATCCCTTTTGTCGTCGATAGTTGTTTTAAGAGTTTCAACGTCTTTAGTCTTGCGAATTTCAACGTCATTCTCAGGATCACAGAGATGATATTCTGTATTGAGATTGTCTTCAATTGGTTCTCTGAGTTGAGGAGGTCCTAAGATCCACCTGTCGTTGATAATGTCCTCAGCAGTCATATTTCTTGTACCAGAATCGGCTGGGTTATGTTTAGTTGAAATATACTGCCATTGGTCAGGTGTTGTTGATTTTCTGATTCGGTCGACTCGGTTTTCTACGTACTTATAGAATCGCCTGCTTTGGTTATGTATATAACCCAGGACAACGAGACTGTCGGTGTAAAAACGAACAGAGTTAACGTTCATGTCAAGTTCTTCACTGATGATATCATATATCTGGACCGACATCACAGCCGCACAGAGTTCCAAGCGTGGAACAGAATGTCCTTTCATTGGTGCAAGCTTACACTTTCCCAAAACGAATCCCACATGAATGTTGTTTGAAACATCGACTGTACGTAAGTAGGCCACTGAAGCTATGGCTGTTTCCGAGGCGTCTGAGAAAATATGGAGCTCTGTGGACAAGGTCTCTTGTAGAGAGATGGGCGCATATGTTCTTGGAATATGCACATCTTCTAGGAATTTCAGAGAGTCTTTCCAATTAGACCATCTGTCCAATAGATGAGGAGGTAGGGTGTCGTCCCAATTGTGTGAACCTCTTAATGAATCTCTCATCAAGACTTTTCCAGAGACTACGACTGGTGCAACAAATCCAACTGGGTCAAATATCCCGTTAATTGTCGACAATAGTCCTCGCTTACTGAAAGGCCTTTCTCCCACTGATAAACGGTATGTGAATGAGTCAGATTTCAGCTCCCAGTTCAATCCTAAGCTTTTTAACATAGGAAGTTCGTCAACACTTAAGTCAATATCACTGAAGTCCTTTGCCCTGTCCTCAGGTGGAAATGCATCCATAACATGCTTGTCGTTTGATGCAACCTTATGTAAACGCAGATTACCACCCGCCTTAAGGGCAGCTTGTGTTCGTTTAAGCAAGGCGATTGCTTTATCAGCAGTTGGGAGAGAAATCAACCCGTCATCGACATAAAAGTTTCGACATACAAAGTCTGTCACATCAGGTCCAAAAGTATCCTCTTTGGCACAGGCAGCCTTCCGGAGGCAATACACAGCAACGGCTGGTGAAGGCGAATGACCGAAAACGTGAACTCGCATTCGGAACTCTATCAACTGGTTGTTTATGTCATTGTCTTTGTACCAGAAAAAGCGGAGAAAGTTCCTGTGTCTCTCGTCAACTAAAAAACAGTGAAACATAGACTCAATGTCTGCTGTAACAGCTACAGGTTCTCTCCGGAAACGCAAGAGTACACCGAGAAGTTTGTTGTTCAAATCTGGACCAGAAAGAAGTACGTCGTTGAGGGAAATGTTCTGAAACTTGGCAGAGGAGTCGAACACAGCTCTGATTTGCGACGGCTTTTTAGGGTGGTACACCCCGAAAATGGGTAGATACCAACACTCTTCTTTTTCTTTAAGAGGGGGTGCGATTTCTGCATGGTTGTTGTCAAATATCTTTTTCATGAAGGACATGAAATGCTCTTGTTTTGTTGGGTCTTTCCGGAGACTGATATCCAGATTTTGTGCTCGCTTGAGTGCGTATGATCTGTTGTTTGGTAGCGGTTGTCGCTTTTCTCTAAATGGCAATGGCGCTTCCCAATTACCTTCAACACTAAGATGAACATCTTGATCCATAGTTCTGATGAAGTCCTTATCGTCTACCGAGAGACCAACTGTATCATCATCCTTTCGTTTCATGAAAATAGAAGAATCCAGATCTCGTGAATAGTGACCAGTATCTTTATTGTGGACTTCTACGTGTATGTCATTGGGACATGGCTGAAACATGGATGTCCTCCCGTTAGGAAGCAGGTAAGTTTTGTTCACTACAACTGAGTTTGGACGATGAACTTTGTTTAAACAAGATTCACCTACTATCACCCAACCCAAGGTAAGTCTCTGCGCAAAGGGTGAATTTCTAGGACCTGTTCGCTGTTCTGCTACATGGTGTGCCTCTGGAATATCACGGCCAATCAAGACGAGAATCGGAACATTTTCATTAACTTCAGGTATGTCGTCTGCAATGTCCTGAAGGTGAGTATATGATTTCGCTACCTCTGGTGTAGGTATTTCATTCCGGATGTCTGGAATGTGGTTGCATTCTATGACAATGGGTATGTCAACTGATGATGATCCATCGAGAGATGAAACAGTGAGATTTCGGGCTTGTCTGCCTAGCATGTCAGTAACTCCAGAACAGGAAGTTAACTGATAGTCAGTCATTTCACTTTCAATATCAAGCTGATCGAAGACTTCTGACTTTACTAGTGTTCTGTTGCTTTGGTCGTCTATTATTGCGTATGCCTTTAGTGTCTTACTTGGATTGTGGGTTTTGTGCAAGTTTACCAAAACTACTTTAGCACACGACTTCCCTGAGAATCCATCTCTGCATACCTGAGTGCATGCTGACGTTGTGGAATTATCACCTGTCTTCTCCCCACCATACGAGACTGTGCGTGTTCCGATGTGAAGAGCTGATGGATGAGAGTGGCTTCCACACTGAGTACAATGAATCTGAGCTGTACACTCCTTAGACTTGTGTTCATCAGAATTACAGCATTTGAAACAAATCTTGTTGTCCCGCAAAAAACGTTTACGTTCCTCAAATGACTTGTCTCTGAAACCACGACAGTCATTCAGACTATGATTAGCTTTGTGAAGGGGACACACTGTACTGGTTGACTTCAAATTTTCTGAGTTCGGTGTCACTCCGGTTTTCTTTGTGGCGACCCATTGTTTCACTTGATTGTTTCTCTGACCAACCTTTTCTTTCACTGTGTAAGAATTTGTTGCATTCTCAGTGGTGTACATGAATCCAGGGTCGTTTCTCATTTTGCTGATATCTTTTATGAATGAAACGAAACATGAGAATGGCGGGAAAACAACAGCATGTTGTTGTTTGTATTTGTACGCATGAGTAATCCACTTCTCCTGAATGTTGTGTGGAAGCTTACACAGTATGGGCGCTATACCAGAAGAAGAATTGAAGTGGCTCAACAGACTTCTGTACTTCGGACTAGACATCAGTGACTCAATCTCACAAAGCAAGTCTAACAAGTCATATAATTTCACATTGTCTCTGTTAGTGAGTTTAGGGAAAGAAGACAATTTTGACATCAACACAGATTCTAGCAGTTCAGGACTACCATATCGTTCGTCTAGACGTTCCCAGATTCTCTTAAGGGCTTCCGACGGATTTGACACATTTGCTGACCTGATGCTTGTGGCGTATTTCGATGAAGTTGGTCCGAGCCATTTTGTGAGGAGATCTAGCTCTTCGGTTTTTGTTGTTTCCAATTCTGACTTTTATTATTTCTTGAAATTGCGCCTTCCAGAATATGTATGTTTGTGGCTGGTCATCAAATCGAGTAAGACGAGAGATGAGCAAGTCTTTCTTCAATAGAAACTTGGTGAAGTAATTTATTTGGTCATGTCCATTCGCTGAAATATCTGGAATATTGGGCTGTCTATGAAGAAAAGCTCTATCTTCTAAAGTAATTTCAGGAAAACGTGGTTGCCTGGGAAGAAAGGCTGGCGCGTATGCATTCAGTTCGGCTGCTGGTTTCGTTTCCGCCTCACGATTTATGGCCGACTGTTCATGAATATAATGTTTGGTTCTCTCCATTGGGTCAATGGGTCTCAAAGCCTCCAACCTCTCCAAATCTCGCAGCACTGGTTTTTCATCTTCATTCTCTAGTGCTTCTGCTTCTGCTTTTGTTGCTGCTACTTCCTGTTTGGTGTTTAAGAGTCTCAATTCAGCTTCGAGTTCTTTTTGCTTCCTCAAGGATGCAGCTCGAGCTACTTCTTCTTGTTCAGCAATAGCTGCTTTCTGTTTCAGTAATGATGTCTCTTGTTTTACAAAGTCTAGTCGAACTTTCGCTGCCTCTGCTTTAGCACGCATACGAGCAAGTTGTGATGATGAATTCGAGGTACGAGTGTTTTTTGATTGTGTTGATCTAGAGATTCTTGAACGACGTGAAGCGTTTTCTAGTGCTGCTTGACGTGATTCATTAATTTTGTCTATCACAGAGTTCACAGATTCCTTACATTTCTGCATGAATGAGGAGTGTTCTTGATTCTCTTTGATACTCTCTTCTGTTCTTGCCCTTGTCAGGAGTGACACAAATTTTGCAGAAGTTGAGCAATATTCTGCATAGGCTTTTGAAAGGTCACTTTCAAATGTGTTCAAGTAATCTAAGTTTATGATGTTACTACTGAAGGAAGAGATAAGGTTTTCAACAACTGCCCACTGAGCTTCTAACTTTGCCTTATAATCTTCACGTTCCTCGTTGAAGAGTTCTGCCGCCTTTTCAGTCATAGTTCGAATCCGTTTAGAATCCTCAGGATTTAACTCGCTCTCCATTGTTGAAATTGTGTAAGACATTAGATCCAATTATAGTGATCGACGTTTCCTTGCTGAGTGACGATCAAATGTGAATCTCTTTGTCCATGCTTTGGGAACAATCTTTTTACTGTTCTGTCTCGGGCACAGAAAGTTTCAACCAGTTCATTCAACAATTGACTTTTATTGAACAAATCAGGTAAAAAGCTAAAAAAAATTTTTAAAAAAGGCACATTCAAAATAGTTGTTTTCTATTGACAAACTCTTAGTTCAACTTAAACATATAAATTGATATTGACACAAATGGCGTTCCATAATGATAAATCTTGACAAAATCGCGGGAATAGGAAAACACTTAATATAATTAAATTCTTTACAAAATTAACATTTATGATATACAAATATAAGATCTGATAAGAAGAACATGAACTACAGAGTTAAATCCTATAAAAATAAACCAAAAATGGCGCTGGTGAAAAAGTAACATGTTGACAACATAACCGACCGTAAATTATCCGTATGCAATTTTTGACTATAAAAACTTGCTGTAATAACACTCATTTTACTTAAACAACATAATAATATCAATAAATGGTAAATAAATGGAAAATACATACATTGTTGTGGCATACAAGTTCCAAAACAGAAAGTTCCGAGCGTGGCGCTTACACGTGTTTACTTATAACAAAGAGAGGTAATTCTATTTTATACATATGGAACGCAATACCTGTACGGCGAAAAAACGATTTTCGAAAATTTGGTCACGAAGGTCCCTTTTCGCTTGACGCAACTCAAATGTATGAGAATATATCTATTCAATACATAAGTAAGACGTATAAATATTTATTCTCTGAAAATTTTTATTCTCTCTCTCTCTCTCTCTCTCTCTCTCTCTCTCTCTCTCTCTCTCTCTCTCTCTCTCTCTCAACTTGGCAAACAAAGGGGGGTTTCAACCCCCGGACCCCCCCCCTCTTCTAGATCCGCTAATCAGCAATCACGCAACGAACAGCTGACAAACACTTCGGCGTTGTCTCAATTATAAGCTGTCACCAGTGTCTCCGTGTTTTCATCATAAATTGCCTTTATTTATCGAAATAGTAAATTGAATGTAATTTTATCAAATTTAATACTTGATAGCAATTTAAGTGACTCGATGAAGTGTTTCCATCTGTCAGATCATCCATCTCTTTCCGGCGACCAAAATTCCTTTTTATCATCGACAATCGCACCTGTTTTAATGTCTTTTCAGCACTGATTATCAATTTTCACGAAATATAAATTCCCAGACAACAATCTTTTTACTATTACTGATCACAAGTAGCCTTTCACAAAATATTCCCTTCGAAAAAGAATCCTTCACATGGTAAATTCGAAGCGTATCCGACAATCAAGCCGATTTCCACCTTGCGCCATTTTTCAAAATCTACGACGAACGGTTAGTGCAACAATTAATATTCAAAAATATTCAATAGTCTGCAGCTGTCTCAAAGGTATATATACTGAAGGGAAAAAGAAACGCAGGGTAAACTTTTGAGGTGAATTGAATTAGTTTTTCTCAAAATACTTTTTAGTTTTCCTATCTAACTTTTAAAATCATCTTTCAAAAAGATATAACCAAATTCTAGGTTGATTTTGTGTAATTATTCATTAGTTATTGAAGCTCAAATGACGATACCCCCCAAAAAGGAAAATTTAAAACTCTCATTATCTTCAATATCCATCTCGTGCATCTGTCAGAGTCTTATTTCTCCTTTGAATGGAATTTCATCAGAGTGTTTATCTTTTAAACCCTGGCTATATTTAACATGGGTAACCACGCAAAGAAAAAATAAGTCAAACGACGCGCGCATGCGCCAGAGAGAGGAATACACCCGTAAGTTGACTGGCTCAAAAAACCAAATTGCATAATTGTTTTCTTTCAAATTTCGTGATAACAACGTGTTTGTTCACAAATCTTGTTGCATTATTTGATGCAGATGAGGTATGCACATCGTTTTTCAATATTAAGAGACATTATGAATCCCTTGCACTCTTGGCACAGTTTACGGGAGGTCAATGGGGTCTTGTTTTCGAATTGCCGAATTAATGAAAAGGGCAACAACGGTTTACTAAGAAGTTTCTTGTAATTTTTCCCCATTAAACTTGTAACCTGTTGTCAGAGAGGGTCTGGAATGGTTTTCAATCAACCGTGACGATGACGTTAACGCCAAACAGAACCATGTTGCGAGCGGGTTATTCGTCCTGCCATCTCTTAAATCGCCACCTTATTACCATAAAAATAGCCATTTATATAGTAGACGATTATAATCATTACATTCGTACGAAATTTGAAAGAAAACCATTCCACAACTTGATTTTATGAGCCAGTCAACTTACTGTTCTATTCCTCTCACTGGCGCATGCGTGCGCCGTTTGATTTATGTTTTTGCGTGGTTTCCTATGCCAAATATAGCCAGGGTTTGAGAGATAAACACTTAAATGAATTCCATGCAAAGGAGAAATAAGGCTCTGACAGATGCACGGGAAAGACTTTGAAGATAATGAGAGTTTTCGATTTTCACTTTTGGGGGGTATCGTCATTTGAGCTTCAGTAACTCATGCATTATTAGACAAAATCAAATGGGAATTTGATTATATCTTTTTTGAAAGATTGTTTAAAAAGTTAGATATATAAACTTAAACATATTTTAAGAAAAACAAATTTAATTCACCTCAAAAGTTTACCCTGCGTTTCTTTTCCCTGTCAGTATAATTATTTTTATTTAAGACCAATAATATAAGACCAAAACTTATCCAAAATTACGCCATGCATATGTCAAAATTAAATGTCTTCATGTACAACACGGCAATATGCTAAAAGATATGCTGCATGAACATATATAAAGGGCTTTAGAATTTTAGGGTTTTAATTTTTTTCTAATCGATTGAAAGATCAATCAATCAGTGAAACTTAGCAGAAGGATATGGAAATAACGAACAGTATATAATCTCAACGTCCATTAAACAAATATACAACATAAGAGCAGAGCAAACACGGTTTTGCAGATGAATTCGTGAAGAGGTTGGTTAATACTCAGCTTTCAAGGTTTATATTTCTAAATAGTTTTCGCCTATTTCTTTTTCTTCATTGGACTGATTAAGGGCTTGGGTTAGTATAATATTTTCTTTCCTTATGTCTCCACTGTTTTCGTCTGAATTTAATATCAATTATATTCAACTGGGTTGTTAAGTTATGATGTTTATATGAATATTTGTTCACTGTAGAGAAAAAGATCGATAAAAAAAAATTATTTTTCTAAAAACGAAAGTAGGAATAATGTGTGGAAAACCCCCAATTAATTGTTTTGTCATAAATATATTTTGACCTCGCCAAATATCGGATAATTTTATAAAAAAAACCCATGGATATCAATCTAGGTACATATACTACAGTAACATCATATTTAAGGCTTGTAAAAAATTAAATGCCGACCATTTCTACAAAATCAACAGTACTTGAGTATCTCATTTGAAATGTATTTTGTACTTCAGGTTTTTACACTAACATCGATATCCTATCAAACACTAAATAAGAAACCCTAAGAGAAACACAATCTGATTGATGATTCTCGGTTTTAGAAGAAGGCGTATAAATTATATCGATTAAAATTCGTCAGGGATCAACCAACCATAAGTGGACTCAGGACCTCTTAAGTTGCAAGCATATGCTGACTTCTACAGTCGACGTCTTACACTTTTTAATAGGGAAGCTCTTTTTAACTTTAAAGGAGAGATT